TCCCCTTCTTCATTCTTGCTTTCTCTCTCCCACTTTTTTCTATCTAAAGCTTTCTCTCCCCTTGTCCTGGAAGCTGGCTGAGTAGTAGTTCCTGGCCCCTGAAGCTCGACCTCCACCAGGAGTCTGGTAGCTGTAGTCTGGGCAGTTTCTGAAAAACCACTGGGCAGTGGGTTCTGGGAGTTCCTTTGTAGGAGGCTTTGTTTTCCTTTGCTTTTCTGAAGAAGAATGAGGAAGTGGGTTTTGCAGGCATGCCAGGGAGGAGGAGAATGGGCTGGTGCCTGAGCCCTGTGGGAGGGGGCTTCTAGCCCCCCACCCCTGCTTAGAGAACTGGCTGAATCTATGAGCCAAGGAAGGAGGAGCTTCCAGGAGTGCACAAGCTGGCTCCAGCACCAAAGCTGGCAGAAGCTACAGCCCAGGTGGCATCTGGATGGCTTCTCCACTGGTGGCAATGTCTTCTTGGAACCCAGTAGCATTAACCAGTAGCCCTGAAGGGTGGCATGGGCAGAGATGCCAATGGGTGAGGACCGCAAGAACAGGAAAATAAACACAAAACACGAAGCACCTTTGTGTGTCCAAGTGAACTATTGGCAGGACGTCATGGAAACAACCAGTGAGAGTTGAGTGTAGAGACAGGAGCAGAGAAACTTCAGCTGAGTCCTGCTGATTGGACCCATTTGCTCACACAGGCTGGAAAAGTCCAAGTAACACACACTGCATCCATTCTGCAGACACTTCTTAAATGCCTGTGCTGCAGCAAGACACAGAGTGTCCGGTGCTGGGCTACATCAAGGAACGAGAAGGCTCCTGCCTTGAGGAACTTACAAGAAACACACACCCCACCTTTCTGTGGAAGAGTCCCTATATATTCCCATAGCATTCGAAATACTAGACAGATCGCATTTATTTTTTAGTTCATAAATTATTCTTGGCTTCTGTTGTTGATGTCTGCTCTCATCCTTAGTTCTTGCAGAAGTGGCATTTATTACATAAGACATGTGTTTTTCCTGTGGGCAGTGCATGGAAGTGTGAGGTTTCCAGACACTATTTACCATGCCCTCTCCCCAGCTTTTGTAGGGTTGGGAGTGAAAAAATTCACCTTCAGAATTTTTTCAGAAAGTTAAAACAGTAGAATCAACTTAAGATAGAGGAGATCGGCCACTTTAAGAAAAGTAACCACATTGTTTCATTTGCTCATCTGTGGGTTCAAAGTGGACTCAGGGACACAGAATTAGGTTAGTCATAATCCTTGGTTCAAGCCACAGATTCTACATTGGTCCCTGAAGAGTTTGTTTTTTATCTGTTTGTTTAATAATAAAGTAAACAATCACAATCTACTACCTAACATGAGATCTAGAACTTAATGACGCTTACGTTTTCCTAACCCATCCCAACCCTGATGTAATCACTGTCCAAACACACACACACACATTTATATTTAAGAGCATTTATATGACAAAAACTGTATTTTAACCGTGTGTGTGAATACACATTGAAATATGAAGTTCATATCAAATATGAAGATGCTTTCACATATTTGAGAGCATATTAACTTTGTTTTCACTTTATATAAAAGGACATCATTCTAAAAAATGTTTCTGGAACCTATTCAATAATATATATCTAAGATACATCCATATTGTTCCATGTTGCTTTTTACTGTAGTACATTTTATTACTTGTAAGAGCCACTCATTCTCTTGCCTAGCAGGTATTGAGTTGTTTCTACATTGTATTTTACTCTTTATTATGGAAGTTTTCAAACATATAGAAAAGTAGAGGGAAGGATATAAGGAAGGAGGGTGCAGTCACCACCAGGGTCAGCAGTTAGCAACATTTGGCTAATCTTATTTCATGTATTCTCCCATCCACCACTGGATAATTTTGAAGCAAATCTCAGACATCACCCATAAAAAATTTAGCTTGCCTCTTCGATAACAACCTTTTTTTAATGTAGCAATGCAAATCTCACACTTACTCCTTAATATTAGCATAAATCCACTACTCAGAATTTCCCGATGGTCTCGCATCTTTTCTACCTGCATGACCCCACACTTCTGAAATCGAGGAGGGGAGGAAATGCGTAGCCTGTGAGGTCAAGGCGGAGTCTGAAAGCCGGTGGTGGTTCTCCTCCGGCTGCAGTCAGCTCCTTTTCTGGGTCACTGCTGAAGCAGCCAGAATCTAAAGCGGGGGACTCCAGAGAGCTCTGGAGAAGGTGGAGGAAGGAAGAGAGATGCAAGCCGTGTGGCCCCAAGCCTGAAGATAAAGAAAAGGCAGAAGCAGCCGAAGAACCCTGTGCAACGTCCTCACCGAATCCTCCTTCTCGAACCTCACTCTCCTCTCCTTGCACAGTTAAAATCTAATAAGGTGTTCAAAGGCCTCTGCCGGCCCATCTGTACTTCTCCCTCCCTGAATGCTTAGGAAACAGGAGAAGAAGAGAAGAGGACATGATAACAGGAAAATAGAAAAGTGAGGGTCAAAAACTGCTCAAAACCTCCTTCACCCGAACCAGGCATTGGCAAACTTTTCCTGTAAAGGACAAAATAGTAAATATTCTAGGTTTTGCCGTCTCAACGACTCAACTCTATCTTCAACGAGCAAAAGTGGCCAAAGACAATCTGCAAACAAACAGGCAAGGCTGTTTCCTAATACCCTTAATCCACAGAAACAGAGAGCAGGCTACATTCGGCCCACAGGCTGTAGTTTGTCAGCACGTAGTCTAAGTACAACAATTTTTATTTCTGCCTGTTCCTCCTACATTTTTGATTATTAAACAGTTACTATAGTTGAAATAGAAAAATAGGATAAATGGAAATATAAAATATAGCTAAGTAGCTAATTAATGTGATTATCCCCATTTTTCAGATAAGAAAATTGACGTACTGTGAGATTAAAGGATTTGCCCAGGATCACAGAGACACCACGTGGCAGTGCTTGAACTTGAACTCCCAAAGTCTATCTTCAAAGTCCAAGTTTTTAAGTTTTCTCCTTGTCTAGATGCAAACAAATGTCAATATCGTAACCATAAAAATTGTACAAAACAATTTATAATGTTTGCTTAACCCTGTAAATATTTAAGTCTCACAATTTTGATAATCTGTTCATTATAATATTAATCATTATAATTGATAGTTGCTGCATAATTTTTCATTATCGGGGTAATAAGTTTTATTACATTATTTTATATCTCTAATTATTTTATTTTATTAAATTATTTCCTAAGCTGAATTCCCAGGAGTAGTATCATTGGGCATCTCTCAAACCTTGTTGTGATATGCTGGGGAAGAGAGTGCTGATTTGTGACAACTGCCAATTTCTGTGGTGTAAAGACTCCACAATGGCCACCAATTTTAAGCTACCAACATGACATCACTGAACAGAGCCAAGAAGTGATGCACATCCTGGGCTCTTGCAAGAAGATGCAAGCTGCTCCAGCACCCAACTGACTTGGCTCATGTTGCCTTTCTTCTTCCCAGCACCAAATTATAAATTAAATTACAGGTGTGAGAGTGTTTCATAAAAACTTTTAAACACTTGATACTGTGTGAGTGCACCAGTATCTCAAATTTGCTCTAATTTACATCCCCTGGTTCTTACTGAAAGTGTCATTTTTCCATGAGTTCCTTTATGTGTGTCTCTTCTGCAATCCCCTACTCACATTTTTTCATCTGTTAGGGTGATGATGCGACTATAGACTGAATGTTTGTGTCCTCCCAAAATTCGTATGTTGAAATCCTAACCTCCAATATAATGGTCTTAGGGGTTGTGGCCCTTGGGAGGTGATTCAGTCATGAGGGCTGCCATCTATCAGCCAGGAAGTGGGCCCTCACCAGACACCAAATCTGCTGGCACCTTGATCTTGGATTTCTCAACCTCCAAAACTGTGAGAAATACATTTCTGTTGTTTACAAGCCACCCTAGTTATGGTATTTGGTTGTAGCAGCCCAGACTAAGACACATGCCTTTTCTACGACTTTGGATAACTCTATACATGATAGTTCTTCATTCCTTGAGCTTGTCTGACACAATTTCGTCTAAACCTTGCTTTTGTGATTTTATTGTGCAGAAACCATAATGTAATTAAGCCTCCTCGCCTTTACTCTTGCAAGTCTGTTGGTAATGAACAAGAAAGAGTTCATCCCATCTTCATTTCTTCTACAAATATTCATTAAATGCCTGCTTTGAGGTACTGGAAATACAGCTGGGATCAAAATAATCTCTCTGCCCTCATGGGTCTTCCGTTTGTTTGGGTGGGAAACACAAATTGAATATGAACAAGCAAATCTATACTGGAAGGTCTGGTGGTGATAAAAGCTACCATGGTACAGAGCGGGGTGGAGGACGGAGAGGAAGGAAGGAGGCGCTGCTTTAGAAAGGCCTCCGGGAAGGTCACATTTGAACAGAGACCTGAAAGGTGGAGTCACCAGCCGTGCTGATTTTCCTGCCATTGGAGTTTTTGTGTTTTTTTTTAATTGAACTCATTTCTCTATCTGGATTTTATTTTTGGTATATGATATGAAAGAGGGTCTGGTTACATTTTTTTTCCATCTGTCTACAATTACCTCAATGCCCTTCCTTCTATTTTCAGACGTGTTGTTACGAAGTTGGACCTAATGCTCGGTTCACTAATACATTCCAACGTGTGTATTGTAAATTGCTGTTTTTTGGATAGCCCTTTCCAAAAAGTTCACCAATTCTTGCTGATTCTTCTGCTTTATCCTTTTTGGTCTCAAAATGAACAACCAGCTTCCTGAAAGGCAAACCATGTCTTAACCATCACTGTATCTACAACACCTCCCATAGAGTCTAGTCAAAATAGACGCATAATATGTTTTTGTTGAATGAATGTCAAAACTCATGCAGATGTTTTCCACTCTCATGCAGGCCTCAGAGCACTTCATTCTGTTAAATAGGTCACAAGTAGCAGACAGCTACTCACACCCACTCACAGGCACATCTACTCCTGTCACTGATTTTTAGAAAAAAAAAAAAAAAAACAGAATGTAAGACTTCAGTCCTTTACTACAATGCCACTATAAATATGGAGCCTTTGGTAGACAACTGAGGCAAAGAACAGAGTCCCTCAAAAAGACACAGCCACTTCCATAAGAGAGGGCATACGGAGTTTGTGTTGGAATTATTTCATTCTGTTTATTTTACTTGGGATAGGATTGAAAATCTTGATGACGAGGCCGTAGCACAGTCAGACCATTGGCTTTTCCAGTTCTGTGTTTGCACCGTCTGTGCATCCATATTCCCCCCAAAACCAAGAAGGCCAGTGCAAGTGGGGCCAGCACAATGCCCCAGGAGAACGTGGAGGAGGCTGTGGGAAAAACAGAGTCACATCAGGAGCTGAACAGTCTCTCACTGTACAAGAAGACAGGGCAATGCAGGTGTACAGGACAAGAACGAAATTGGAGTTTGTTTTTCTTGATAAATGTGCATTGATTTTCAGAAAGCACATCCCTCACACCAAATGATGTCTGTGGATTAGAGAAACAAGTGAGATAGGGCAAAATCTGTTGGAAACGTCATAGGGTAAGTGGGCAAGTGCTGAGGGTTTAACTTTGTTCCGACAGTGGGACACTGTGCGTTTAAGATGCTGCCTGTTTATGTCTCAGTTGGCCAACTGTGACAGAGCCAGGAACAATCTGCCCTTTTCTAATGAGCATGGGTGTCATGAGGATCAAAGGAAGTAGCAAAGGAAAATAAATTTTGAATAATGGAGCTGTAGGGGCCAACATGATTGCTTGGGTCCAGCTATTTTATGTTCTGCTCCTTGGCGTCTCTGTGTTATGGAAATACAGGAAGAGACTCTGAATAAAAAGTCAAAAAGCAAATGTGAAAACAGAGTGTTATCAGACACATTGTTGATGAGACTGGAATCCTGCATTTTTAAGCTATTATTTACCACAGTCTGTTTAGTCATCCAGGAATCGACATGACCTCAGCCTGTTGCTCCAGAGGATTCTCACATCTTAAAACCCCACAAAGATTAGAAGTAAGTTCAGCTGTAATTTTCTGGGCAGCTGTTTGAATACACCTCTCAGTCCTGGTGAAAGACTCTCAGCCTGTGTTCCCTGGATCAGTCACGGCCAGCCACATGCAGGGACAAGGCTCATGTTATGGAAAATTTTAAAGGTTCCCAGCATGAAGGCCAGACAAACCACAGGTTCCTTGGGCTCACTAATCTGACCCCGAGAAGGAACATTCTGATTTTTGTGGGTAAATGTGTACAACCACCATCTCTCTCCCAGCCTGCTCATCTGGAAATGATCTGAAATGCCACCCTTCCCATGTGTGCCCTCATTCTCAAACTTCACTGTGAAAAGAGCTTGTTGAGTCACAGGCTGCAGCCTCTCCCTAGGAGAATTTGACAGGGTGGATCTGGAGTAAGTCCAGAGATCTGTGTTTGTAACCAGTGGCTCAGGTGAGTGTAAGGCTGGTGGTGCACGGTGCACAGTTGAAGGAAAGTTGCGTTGGGTGCCATTCCCTGCCCTGAGGCTGGAACGCATCATTAGCTTTCCAGTTTACACTGTGTCTGTCGCTGCCTCCCCAGCAAAACATGGAGACCTGGAGCAATTAGGATTTATGTTATTGCTGTATGATTGTCCAAGAGGCATCACTGAGATTTCAGATGGGAATCACTTTGGCTTGCCTGCCATTAGTTTCAGGCTGCCAACGGAGACTACATTAAAGGCACCTCCCCCTCCTGCTCAACAATTAAACATTGATATGAAATCAATTTAATCAAAAATGATAATGTGGGTTTTCCTCTTCTTCTTTTTGAATGTCCTTAAATGAACGCTGGGTTGATTTGGCTGTAGCCTTGTACCTATTTCTGGTCATACAATGACTTTGACCCTAAAGCTGCCCTGAACCCTGGGTAGCTCCCAATTCTCAGCTCTTGGAGGATGAAGTTTCTCATCTTCAGGATAAAGAACAATCCAGCCTCCTCTAGAGGCCATGCAAAGACAGGTGATCAGTGACCCAAGGCAGAGCCACATGCAGACAGAGTGTTTCGAAGTTTACTGTAGAACCATTTCATCTGTTTTTTAAACATCAGCTTGCTATTTAAATTTTTCATTTGAGTATAATCTCCCGAAGTTCATCCTCCACGCTACCAAAAATCTTTAAAAATTGGAGGTTTCTTTTCAGCTCTCCACTAGCAGGCAATGCGAGGGAATCTCTATGGAATCATCTGAAGAACAAGCAGCTTTGTCTAGTATTCACGGAACATTCAACATGTTATATTCTCCTGTAGTGCTCCCCAAAATACATACATACCTTCCTTGACTGTGGTGCGTAGTGTCTGAAAACCCAGGGTATTACGGACAACACATTTAAAATCCATGTTCAAATCCTCTCTTGTGACAGGATCAAAAATCAATGGCACTTCAATGTAGTTCTCATTATTTTCTGAATATTCCCTGAGTTAGAAAACATTCACTTAAATATGATTGTATCAAAGGCAAGCTTGTCTTTCACAATGTAGGCATCTAAACACTCTCCATTAGAAGCACCCATTGCGCTTTTATTGTTTTCAAGTTTCATAAATTAGGAGCTCTTGCCACCATACTTGTTATTCATTTGGGACAGTTTCTAAGCCTGTTCCTGAAGGCCTGAGTGTCACTGAAGTTGGCGGTCACTGGTATCAAGCAGTTGTTACACTACAGGGTTAGATAATGGGGAAGTTCATCCTATAAGTCCCTGAATGAACAACAACAACAAAAAAAAAACACAGTCGTGGGAACAGAAACGTCTACTTTGAGGAAACTTGAGTCCCTCACCATTAAATCACTTGTATATTGAAGGGCAGGGAGTTTCCAGGACTTCAGCCCTCAATGGTGCCATCTCTTCTCATCTCTACTGCTGACTCTCACTCTGGAAACCTGCAGACAGCCCAGGGGAATGGCTCTGGCCAGGATAGCTGCCATTTATAGTGTTAGAGGAATTAGTAGACACCTCACTACTATCTGTTAGTATGAATAAAAACATGGATGAGTGGATCTACTAGGAATATTTTTCATTTATTTGTAGGAGGAATATAGGTTCCTTTAAGTAAATGGATCGTATGAGTAAGCTGAGATGGGCATTTAGTTGTGGCCAGGTCTTTCGCAATGAGAACTTGCAAGCACATGATTGTGCTAACCACACATAGTTTTTATCCACTAAATTACATCCAGAAAGATCTTCTGTGATAAGTCTTTCAAAAAACACAAGCATTTGGCAAGCAAAAGCTCAGGCTAATTCAAAGTATCAAAACTGTGATTTTAAAAATACCTTACAATTTGGAACGTTGAATGGTCTCCCTCATAGGCAACGAGTTCCCATTTACAAAAGGTCTGTTCTAGTCTCAGAGTGAGAAAACATTTTCTAGAGATGACTGCTCATAAGAACTGAACTCTTTCTTCCTTTTATTATCAACCTTCCTTAGAGAGTGTGGCAGCCCACAGCCCCCTGAGAAACAGAAGAGGCACTACAGATCCTGTGGCTGCGTCTCGAGGTCTTTTTAAGGGTTTATGAAAATGTTTGACAGTCAGGTTGCAGAGTGGAAAATGGAAAGGTATTAACTCCAAAATACTTTAACTTGCAAAAATAAAAGGATCACTGTTTAATTAAACAGCCACAAAATGCAGCATCAATACCAGCATGTCAACTGCAACTCGACTTTTAAGTATTTACAGAGAAGGTTTGATTCTCAAGATGATTTTTAGCAAAACTCAATTTTTAAAATTCTAAACATCCAATAGTTTGGAATCACAAAAAGTTACTTTTAATGTGGTATGTGGGTCATAGTGATAACTGTCTCCAAAAGGAAGAGTGAAACCCACAGAGGTCTCGACAGAAGACCCTGGCCCACTTACTGGCGCGGCCCCTCGGTCACGCGGCCTCCCGGGTAGGCGCTCTCTACGTGGGTGTCATTGGCCGTCCACCACAGCATGGTGGTTAAGGGCGTGCCGGTTCCCAGAAATACCTTACACGGGATTGTCAGTCTCGACCCTGTGGACAGCAAGGCACAGCATGTCAACAGCAGAACCAGCGCCTCCCACCCATCAGTAAACCTGAGCCCTGAGTCCTTCCTCAGCTTCTCAAACACCCCTCACCAGCCAATTCTTTCCTTAGTGGAAAATTTAGTTTTCTCAAATGATTCTGTTCACACGGAGCTTTACTGTTTACAAAGTGCCTCTGGTTCCTACAACTGGTCTTCACGGCAGGCGAAAACCAAGAGGCACCTGAAGTTAAATGGCTTTGCCAGGGCCCCTGCGCTCCCAGGGCACATGCTAAGTTCAAGCCGACTTCCTCTGCCACTCACTTCAGTTACCTCAGACAATCCAGATCAACGTGTGGATTCTTTCTCTTTGTCCGAGGCTGGTCTTGGCTCTAATGTTTCTCTTGGGAACCCTCCATTCCCAGATGACTCTGACTGGGGATCAACCCTTCTTAAAAACTCTGTATTTTCTATACATGGTGCCCTCTGCAGTTGTGCAGTGTGATGTATTAGGCCCCCCTGCCTCAATCACAGGAAATTATTTTTCTTTTTCATTCACCGAAGAAGAGTAGAAGGAAAAGAAGAAATCCTTCTCACTTGTTTTTTCCTCATGGGTGATATGCCTCCCTGTGGTGTGTCTTTTAATGCACCTGGCCCCACCATGGGTTGAGAATGCCAGCCCTTCTCCATCCTATGCCAATCCTATGACCTTAAAGATCTTCCTCAGCCATAACAAGCTACTAATCAGTGTCACGTGGTCCCACAACCCATTCCAGTGCATTCAAAGCAACTGATTGGGAACTGGGCCTGGGAACTTGGCTGGGAAGCCCCAGGGAGCCAGAACACTGGGGCTCCAGTAGGTATCACCCATTGTGCCCACTGCCCCAGATTTCCAGGTGGTTGTTCCTAGAGCTGCAGCCATAGGGACTGCACTGTGGCAGCGGCAACCCAAGTGCCAGCCAGCAGTCCCAGCAACTGCACAAAAGCCCGCCCTCTATGGCCTCCAATTCAAATTTAAAATTTAAACCAACACTAAACAAAAGGAAAAAGCAAATAAATTATTTTTTAAAAGACTCTGCAGCCAGGGTTTCATAAATGAGTATCAGACCTACAAAAACATTACCCAGAAACAAACACATAAAAGGGTGCAGGCTTTATAGATACACAGACCTGAATCTGAACTCCAGCCTGACTCTGAGGGTGGCCCTTTGGCCTCCACTGAGCCACCGTGATGCCCTGGGTGGCTTTTTCCTTTTGGAAAATTGAGGAAATAAAACCTACAGGGTCTATGTCGAGATTGAATGGGATCCCATTGAACATAGTAGATGCTCAATAAACATCAATTCCTCCTCACCACTAGCATCAGTAGGTTGTTAGTACAGTACACTTACGTACCCTCACTGGCCACTAGTGTGGACCTGTGCTGGCCAGGATGGACTGCACACATGGGGTGAAAAGCAGAAAGCCCCATTGGTCATTTTCATAGCACCATTCAACCAGTCTACCAGCTCTTCTAGCAACAAGAAACTGACCACAGCTGAACCCACTTTACAAATGGAGTCTTAGAGAGAGGCAGAGCGCCAGCCAAGTTTTGGTGATGTGAATTATTTTAAATACACTGAGGGTGCTGGCTCTGCCTGGGGTTCATGCTGTTCATCTTCTCATGCAGTTGATAACCGCTGCCAGAACATTCAGATTTTCACATTCATATTTTTACAGGTAGGCTTTGCATGAAGCAAAGCATACCTGTTTTCAGATTACGCCATTTCTAACCAAACTGGCCAAAGGGAAATATTCCCTTACATTTGTTATTCCGGCCTCACATACTGGAGTTCTAAGGTCTCCACCCAGGCACACTGCACCCAAGGGGCAGATATGGTCAGCAGACACGAGGGTTCCAAGCCCCCTGCACCCTCACGGGTGCATGGAATGGGTGCATGGAATGGTCCTCGCGGGCCTTACCCAGAGAAGCCGATATGGTCTTGAGGGGGGAAATGATCACAGGAATGGTCTCCTCTTTTTTTTCTGAGAAAGATGTAAGGAAAAGAGATTCCATTAGGAAAGCCTTCATTTGACGCTGTGGTTCAAGTCATTGTTTGGCTAATCAACTAAGTTATCCTTTCCAGTACGGTCAGTCATTACGAGAGTCAGCCTTTGTCTGGCAAAGGAAACAGGCTCTCTACAAAATCGAGCATCCCTGGCCAATGACTTCCCAGCAGAGAGATTACTGGAAGAGGCCACAGCTAAACACACATTCCGCTGACAGGAGGTCTTTGGTCCTTACTCTATAAACAATTAACCATTTCCCTCCCAGACTTCCTGAACACAATCTTAAGAGTCATGTTTACAAGGTCCACGAGATAGGATTTCCCCGAAACTCGATCTGACCTAAAATATCTTCTCCACCTCTCCAAAGTGCCTGCCACAAAATACTCCAGATTCAGTTTTCTAGAAAAGGCACAGGGCTCAAGAACCACCTGTTTGGATGACTAGTGTGTAACCTGGCCTCGGCCACAGAAGTCTTGCTAATTGAAGAGATAAACTCTTCAGAGAGGCAGAAGTGATCTCCAAGGGATTAGAGCCAATGTAAAGAAACGAGACAGCCAGGCACGGCGACTCACGCCTATAATCCCAGCACTTTGGGAGACCAAGGAGGGTGGATCACGAGGTCAGGAGTTCGAGACCAGCCTGACCAACATGGTGAAACCTCGTCTCTACTAAAAATACGAAAATTAGCTGGGCGTGGTGGCGCGCGCCTGTCATCCCAGCTACTCAGGAGGCTGAGGCAGGAGAATCGCTTGAACCCGGGAGGTAGAGGTTGCAGTGAGCCGAGATCTCGCCATTGCACTCCAGCCTGGGTGACAGAGCGAAACTCTGCCTCAAAAATAAGCAAAAAGGACACCTGGCGGGTGAGGGCTGTGAGTTATCTCCACGACGGGTCTCATCATCCTCATTTTCACTAAATAGCATTTGAAATCCTGACATGAGTACACATTAGACAGCATGGCAGGACAGCCGGAGGGGCAGACGGCTTCTCGACCACGGCCGGACGCCTTTTCCTCCCCTCAAAGTCTCACGCTGCCCTGTGGAGCTGGGGCATCCAGGGAGAGAAAGAAGCCTCCAGGATCTCAGTGCTTCTTAGACTTGAGGGTCCCCAGCATCACCCGGGGGGCTTGTGAGACACAGATGGCAGCCCCCAGACTCCAGTTTCAATCAGTAGGTCTGCACGGAACCCGAGATTTGCATGTCTGTTGAGTACCCAGGTGATGCAGCCCTGCTGGCCCAAGACCACCCCTTGAGAGCCACTGAGGATCACAACACAGAAAGGCATGTGGGGCGGCTGCCCCCTAGTGTTCCTGTGCAGTATCGCAGAGACAGGACCGTGCCGGTCCAAGGAAAGGCTCATGAGGCCTCAGTCACTGGCCTGTCCAGGAACAAGGAGCCGATATGAACGAATCCTTACAGGACTGTAAAACAAACACAACCAGGACACTTCAGTCCGTGGAAGAACGCGCTGAAACTGAATCTCTGGATTCTCTGTGAGAAAGACATCTTCTCCCCTCACAGACCAATTATTTAAACTTGGTGTGTCTCCAAAGCTGTCTGAAATCCCCTCAAAAGACCCCAGTTGTGTTCATTATTCAGTATAAAAAACAAAGAATTGTGGCCCACTCTCCAAGGCAAAGTCCAAGATTTACACATGGTTACACCTGGCTCCATGTCCAGCACACAGTTGGTACAGAGTAAATGTTGAACAAATGTGAAATAATAGCCAATACTGCTCAAAACACCATTTTCAAACGAAACTCATTTTAATCAACGGCAGCTCTGACTATTTGAAATATCACTATTAAGGGCAGCTAGATCCACCTGAGGGAAGACAAATAAAAAGTGATTTCCACTGGATATGCAAGGCATGGTCCTCCGGTTAGAATACCCAATAAAATCTAAGTATCCTAAAATTATACATAAAGTTATGGCATGTGGTGACCTCTAGCCCTATAGGTGCAAAGATTCACATGACACTTTCCAAGGAGACCTTCCAAGGAAGCCACTGCTTGACTCTCTTGAGTGGTGTGTTTTAGCCTCCATCTTGCAACCCTGTGAACTGCCCAATTCATTCACCTTTACTCAGATCAACACCCTGATTTATACCTTTCAAAGTATCACGCACATCTTATTAACCTGATGCTTCAGGAGACTTGATGGATCTGTTTTCCCTTATCCTTCATTTCAAAGACCTGCAAGGAATTGTACATGCACCCTCATTTGTTCTCTGCATGCTTGTTATTGAACCAGGATAGACGGATGCCTCAATGGCAAGTACTTACTCTTGATGCGTAGCTCAACAGTCCTAGTGATGTTGTATTGCTGGCCTTCATGGGCAAACGTCAGGACACAGCGGTAATAGCCCGCATCTTCCAGGGCCACATCATGTACCAGTAAGTGAGTGGTCCCCCTCACACTTAGAAATTTCTCATTGTCTTTATCCAAAGGAAGAGAATCCTTAAGGGAAAATGTTTTTGTTGACATTATACCAATATACATCTCAAAGGCTATGAATTGCATCATCATTATCAACCAATGTTGGATTTGCAATCCAAGAATTGCCCTGGTATTTACTTTGCCAATTTGGTACTTTGGGCCTCCTTTTGACTGTATTATTAGGGGAGGGAATTTGTTAACATATAAAACCAATAAAATTGCTAGATTTGCTTAACTACAATAGTTAGAGCATATTTGTCTAGGCCCAATGGGAGAAAAAAGAGACTAACTCTTCTTTGACAAAGTAAGTCATCTAAAATGCAAATATGTTTATGTCCTGACTGCTACCTTCAGGCCTTAGGAAGTATCTGGGAAGACCACTACAAATAGTCATGATGAGCTCGCCAACAATGCTCAGAAGAGATGATGCTGCAGTAATTACTTTAAAAAGCATTTCAATTTTGTGAGTCAGCAACAGAAAAAATTCTGTTATAAGAAAAACTAAATAGGGGAAACGAATCCACACTTTTTATATGGACACAAGGTTCTCTGGGGTCTCTGTAGAACAGAATCCTCAAGATCAAGGCCTCCAGGAAATAGAAAGAGCTGAATGGAATTTCTAAAAACACCCTAATGAGCACACAATGTTCTCAGGGACATCGCTTTCAAAATCATGCTTAGTCAAAGTTTGCAACAGTTAAATATAACCTTGTGTCACTTCAGAGTCCCACTCTGAATGAGAACACAGATAAAATGGAAATTGTTACATGGCTCATGGAGTACCACTTTAAAACATATTTAATTAAAAGGAGATATTTCATTGATCTAAGTATGAGTAGTCAAATATGAAAAATGCCAAATAGGGCCCAGCACCACAGTCGTTCCAGTGGTGTATGGGAATTGGCCTTCTGGGTTTGAGTTTTGACTTCACCATCTACTGGCTGTATGATCTTGGGAACATCCTTATAGGTCCTTATCTGTAAAAAAAAGGGGGATATTTACAGTTCCTACTTCACTGGGTTGCATGTAAGGGAGTTTAGAACAGGCTTGGATATAATACATGCTCAGTAATATGTAGATTATTATGAAGTGAATAAAGATTACTAAGCATCACCATAACATCTTTGTCCAGGCACATTTATTGAGCACCATTTACATGTCAAGCACTGCACTGGGTGCTTTATACACATCATTCCATTTAATCTTTGAAACAATCCCAGGTGGTGAAAGTTATTAATTGCCACTTTACAGAGGAAACAGGTTGGAGAGGTGGAGTCACTCTGCCAAAGCTGCACAACAGATCAGAAAAGGAACAGAGTTTCAAACCCAGACCCATTGATGCCAGGGCCTGTGCTCCTTCCTCTCCCAGTTAAACCTTTCATTTGTCCTCTTTATGCTTTTTCCAAATCAAAAGAGAATGCATTCTAGGCTGGGCTTGATGGCTCACACTTATAATCTCAGCACTTTGGGAAGCCGAGGTGGGAGGACCACTTGAACCCAGGAGTTCGAGACCAGCCTGGCCAACATGGTGAGACCCCATCTTAAAAAGAGAGAGAATGCATTCTAGAGCTCAGCCAGCTTATCTATAGGTGCTGGCTACTTTTCTCTACTTTCAGAAAATCATTTCAAAGTGTCTAATATTAAATCAATATCCTATATAGAGATCCTGTAGTTCAATACCAGTCAACCACTTAACCTGTTGTCGATTAAAGGGTTAATTCCCATTAATGGTTAAGCCAATAACTGTACTTTTCAGTATCGATCTAGGGTCTCTATCAGGAGTTGACCAACGTTTTCAGGAAAGGGCCAGATAGGAAGTATTTTGGACCTTGGAGTCTGCAGGGTCTCCATCACAGCTAAGTCGTGCAAAAGCAGCTACAGACAGTACCTAGATAAGAGGATGTGGCTGTGTCCAGTAAGACTTAATTTAACGACCCTGAAATTTAAATTTTATGTGGTTTTCACATCATAAAATATCCTTCTTTTCCTTTTTTTCAAACATTTAAAAAAGCGATAACTATCCTTGGCTTGTGAGCCATTCAAATCCAGGAGACAACTTGATTCCAGGGCCTAGCCATAGTTTTCCAACCGCTGGTCTACATAAGCAATAGCTGATAGCCAGATCTGATGTTCTCTCTAGGAGCAATGAGCACATCAAATAACATCTATTCAACCAGACAAGGGAGCAAATTGTGTCCATATTTACTCCCTTAACAAAAAAGTTTGTTATCGTGTGCTCTTTTTTTTTTTTTTTTTGAGTTGGAGTCTCGCTCTGTTTCCCAGGCTGGAGTGCAATGGCACAATCTTGGCTCACTGCAACCTCCACCTCCAGGGTTCAAGCGACTCTCCTGCCTCAGCCTCCTGAGTCACCAGGATTACTGGCACCCACCACCACGCCCGGCTAATTTTTGTATTTTTAGTAGAGATGGGGTTTCGACATGTTGGCCAGTCTGGTCTCGAACTCCTGACCTCAGGTGATCTACCTGCCTCAGCCTGCCAAAGTGCTGGGATTACAGGTGTGAGCCACTGCGCCCAGCCGTCATGTGCTTTTTTAAAAAACTCCTTTAATATGTCTACGAAATTGTTATGTAACCTTTTTTCTACATTTTTATAGACAAATTACAGTAAAAAGTTATTTCCTTCAACTGTTATGTACTCTGTCTTCACAAATCACTATTTCAAGCACCTTTACCCAACCCACATAAGGACTAATAGAACATATTAATTATGGCCCTTTTAAATTCTTTAAAATACAGTCATCCTTCAGTTTCTTTGGGATCAATTTCAGGAAACATCCCCCACAGGTGCCAAAACGCAGATGCTTAAGTGGTTTATATAAAATGGTGTCATCTGTGCATATAACCTACGGACATCCTCCCATACTTTAAGTCATCTCTAGATTACTGGTAGATTACTAATACAATATAAGTGCCATATATAAATACAGTCATGTGTCGCTTAACAATGGGGATAATTCTGAGAAACAGGTTAAGTGATTTCTTTGTTGTGTGAACGTCAGAGAGTACTCGCACAGGCCTAGAGGGTAGAGGCTCCTACACACCTAGGTGACAAGATTCAGCCTGTTGCTCCTGGGCGACAAACCTGTACAGCATGTTACTGTCCTGAATATTGTAGGCAATTGGAGCACAGTGGTCAGTTTTTGTATATATAAACATGCCTAAACATAGAAAGGGCCATGTTTTGCACTATGATGTTGAGATAGCTATGACGTCACTAGGCAATAGAAATTTTTCAGCTCCATTGTAATCTTACAAGACCACCATTGTACATGCAGCCCATTGTTGACTGAAACATTGTCATGCAGCACGTGACTGTAGTTGATGCACTGTATTGGTTTCTTATTTGTATTATTTGTATTGTATTGTTATTTTATTTGTTGATTTATTTATACTTTCAATCCGAGGTTGGTAGACTCCCAGGATGTGGAACTCACAGATATGAATGGCAAACCATGTGTGTGTTTGTGTGTGTGTGTGTGTGTGTGTGCACTGTCTTCAGAAAATCGATATTTTATGTCTTTCCTATATGGTTAATAAAAAAAGAAAACACATTTTAGTAAAATGGTATTTTTTAAAGCTGTACCTTGTACCATTGAATCTTCACGTCAGTTTTGTCACGGGTGAATTCTCTCAGGTCAGGGCACACTAATACCCCAGAGGTTGACAAGGTTAAAATTTGCGGGTATGAGATGAACGGCAGGGAAGCATCTGTATTCTCAAAAACTCTGAGCTCAATGGACACTTTGTCACAGTAAGAGGCATTTCTGATTTAAAAGGAGAAAAAGAGATAAATGGGAAGGCAAAATAAAAGTAAACTAAATGAAATTAGGCATCATTTCCCCAATTCTATTAAAATCTGCATCTGCATTTTCCAGGTTAGTACAGATTGTTTCCTGACATAAGATTATTCAACTTAGGATTTTTTGACTTTACAATGCTGCAACACAGTAAGCATTCAATAGAAACCCTACTTCAGTACAGTATTCAATAAATCACATGAGATATTCAACACTTTATTACAAAATAGGTTTTGTGTTAGATGACTTTGCCCAGCAGTAGGCTAATGTAAGCGTTCTCAGCCCATTTAAGGAAGGCTAGGCTAAGTTGTGATGCTCGGTAAGTTAAGTGTATCAAGTACATTTCTGACAACACTGTTTCCAACTTACAATGGGTTTATTGGTATTTACGCCGTTGTAAGTCGAGGAAAATCTATATTGCAATACTTCCATCCCTGATCTTTTTGAACCCTTGGGGGGGCAAAAAGTGTCATAACATAATTGTACAGAAAAAGCATGTTCTGTGTTTTTCACAAAGGTCTGTCTACAAGCCCAATTCTAATGCCACCAAGGTTCATCAAGAAATCCCCAAGTCCCCTTCAAAAGGGCTTATGCCTTCCAGGTTCTGGAGCTCCTTGAGCCCAGTCCCCGCATACTCCAACTTCATGATCCAGGAAACCATATCCACATGGGGAAATTGTTTCCCAAGAGCCACTGTTTCCTTTGCTCCTTCAGGGAATGTTTTATCAACTGAAGTCTAGTTTTAGAAAACTGCTGGAAACTTAGTATAAGACCCACAAAAGATTTTTGTAATACTGCATGGGGAAATTAACTTGGTTAGTTTGCTTTATTATTCTTATCATTATTATTATTTTACTAGCCTAATCATTATTTCAATGCCATAATTCTATCAAGACCTTAGAGCTGGAAAATGGGGAGAGGAAAAACCTTTCTGGAAACTTGGGGAAAATGGATAGAGGACAGAAAACAGTAATTAAAGCTACTTTTTAAGTAGAAAAATATAAAAATATAATTATCTCAGCTAAATTTCTGGCTACCTAAGACACATGAGACTTTGACATAGAAAATGAGGATGTCTTACATATAGGGGTAAAAATTAGTTGCACAGCAAAATCTAAACCATCCATATCCAAACAAGTAACAAAATGTAAAAAAAAAAAGAAAAAAAAGCGAAAGAAATGTGTTAAAAGCTTACCACTTGAAAGTAAAAAGAATTAATTTAAATATATGAGGCCAATATGTGTATTATATTTAGCTTAAAAAAGGAAAATAGATGAACAAATATTATATTTTATGCATAAAGAAATACAGAATGTTAACTCTCACCTTGAAAAATGCGTAATCTCACTGCATGTTGAATAAAGGCAACTGAGGACAAATCTAAAGACCAGGGCCTACTTGAATAACAGTCACACAACAGGTAGCCAACAGGGAGTAGATGCAGGCCAGGCCCTGTGCTGTGAACTTTGCACATGTTATTTCATTTATAGTCCAGCCCCCATGAAGTAGGAATTACTATTATATCATTTTTATATGAAAAAAGTTAGGTGTACAGAAATTAAGTGGGCTGTACAGCCACAAAGAGGTCAAACCAAAATGGGAAGCCCAGCAAGGCTCTGGGAAAACCCATAAATCAAAGCACTATCTTCAGAAACCAAGCTTAGTAGACATATTGAAAGTCACAACGCTGTTCACATTATTGATCTGGTAATTCCCCTTGAGCAAAAACTTCATGAAAATAACTCAAAAGAAAGAGAAGGGTGGGGGACAATTTGATCATCACTTGCACTCCCCATGTAGTGTGGCACCCCCATGGCAAAGGCATGACAGTCATTAGTAGTGCTGCTCACCAAATAGGCCCAGTTCTCCCCATTCTGAGCACATGGGGTACCACATGTCCTCATCCCCACTATGGGTGGGTGCAGTTATATGGCTCTTCCCAGCTCACGAGTTGTATGTGTGACCCTTCTACATGAAAGTTGTAACGGCCACGAGAGACCCTCCAAAGCAGGCTTCCTTCTGCTCTAGCAACCAACCAACAACATTTGAAATAGTGAACGTGACTGCTCCTTCAGCCTGAGTCCCTGAGTGTCTGCAAACCCACAGTGGACCTGTTAAATAAGCCATTGTTATTTTAAGCCACTGAGATTTGGGAGCTGTTTGTTACAGCAGCATAACCTTGTCTGCCTACTCTTTCTTTTTCTTTTCCTTCTCTTTCTTCCTTCCTTCCTTCCTTTTTTTTTTTTTTTTTTTTTTTGCTGTGATACAAAGTAAGGTGTTTATTTGCAGAACACCAAGCAAGGAGGCCCAGGCAGCTACTGCTCAAATCCTGACCTCTCTGATGGCTTGCATTCTTGCCTACTCTGACTCACCATGTGGGTTCTAGATCACAAGATCTTAAACAATCATGGGAACAGGGCAGTCTCTTGCCTCATGACTATCAATGCTAAAGAATATTATGGCAACTGTTGGTGATTCTCTCTCGATTAGAACCCCAATCTTACAGTTGACAAAGAGTATTAGAGGTCAGCCAGGTAAACCTTCCCATGATGCAAAGAAAGTTTGACACACACTGGGATTTCCCCTGACCCCTCAATCTCTGCTCTTTTTTTTCCTACAAAAATTGATCGTAAAAACAAACTTTAGGACAAACACGACTCAGCTCACATCTCCCTGATTTTTGCACAGTCTCACTTTCAGTAGTCATGCGGATTGCCTTTTGGGAAGGACAGGGAATTCTTATGTATATATTGACCACCTTCCATGGCACGTCCCACGCTAGCTCCTTCACATGCTGTGATCTCACATAACCTTCTCAACAAACTTCTTTACAGGGGAGAAAACTAACACCCATAAAAGTCAAGTGATAAGCCCAAGGTCCCACGAGATAGGAAGTGAGAGAGCTAAGATTCCCATCTGTCTTTCTGACTTCAGGTTTCATGTTTTCTTAATACACTGTGAAGTTTTCCTAGTAGTGCTCATTAGAGAAAATTAGAATTTTTACTGTGAAAAAGAAAGAAGAAACATGCATTTATAGCTATTGTAAAACCAGACATCCACATTTTCCTAGCATAAGAATAGGAGATGATTTGCCTGTTTTTTAGGCAAGGTTCAATTGCTTATAGTTGGGGCTAAGCATATGGATGGTAGTGTCAAGCTGGGTTTGATCTGAAAAGATTCTCAATTTCACACACGCACGCACATGCACACACACACACACACAGAGGGCACCCTCCACCTCATATCTCCTCCCACAGCCCACATCCCCTGCCACACACACACCCAGCCTAGGACTGAGGCTGATGTGACCTGAAATTTTTTCCATTTACCAGTAATTCCTTTGTGCTAAGAACGTCACTTCTCTGGTTCTTTTTCTAAATATACATATTCCTGGGTACAGTTCTTCTTAAGTCAAATGAGTTTATGAAATCTGGAGACTCTGAAGCTAGCTGGTAGAAGGAGCAAGCAGAGCCTTTGGAGGAACAGAAGAAGCAGCTGAAGAGAGAGGCCAAAACACTAGTTCCCAATCAAGCCAAGGGTTGTCTTAGTTTAGAAGAACGAAGCCAAGAAACTTTTTAAGATCACCAACACTAGGCCTAAAACTTCATCCATCAAGAATAGTAGGACATGTCAAGACCATTCAATGGGGAAAGGACAATCTTTTCAGCAAATAGTATTGGAGAAACTGGATATCCACATGCAAAACAATGAAGCTGGACCCTTACCTAACACCATATACAAAAATTAACTCAAAATGGATCAAAATACAAAACACGGCCAGGCGTGGTGGCTCACGCCTGTAATCCCAGCACTTTGGGAGGCTGAGGCGGGAGGATCACGAGGTCAGGAGATCGAGACCATCCTGGCTAACACGGTGAAACTCCATCTCTACTAAAAATACAAAAAATTAGCCAGGCGTGGTGGTGGGCACCTGTAGTCCCAGCTATGTGGGAGGCTGAGGCAGGAGAACGGCGTGAACCCAGGAGACAGAGCTTGCAGTGAGCCGAGATCACACCACTGCACTCCAGCCTGGGCAACAGAGTGAGAAACCGTCTCAAAAAAACAACAACAACCGACAAACAAACAAAAAAAAAACCTTAAGAGCTAAAACTATAAAATGCTTAGAAGAAAACAAAGGAGAAAATCTTCATGACATTGGATTGGGCAATGATTTCTTAACACTAAAAGAACAGGCAATAAAAGAAAAAAAATAGATAAACTGGACTTGATCAAAATTAAAACCTTTTGTGTAACAAATGACACTATGAACAGAGTGAACATGCAACCTAGACAACAGGAGAAAATATTTCTAAATATACGTCTGATAAGGCAAGGGGTTAATAACCAGGAAATGTAAAGAACTCCTACAACTCAACAACAACAGCAAAATTCAGTTTTTAAAGTGGGCAAAGGACTTGAGTAGACATCTCCAGAGAAGATGCACAGATGGTTAATAAGCACATAAAAAGATGCTCAGCATCACTAATCATTAGGAAGATGGAAATCAAAGCCACAATGAGAGACCCCTTCACATCCATTAGGATGATTATTATCAAAAATAACAGAAAATAACATGTGTTGGTGAGTACGTAGAGAAATTGAGTTTGGGCACTGTTAGTGGGAATGAAAAATGGTACAGCCACTATGGAAAACAGTATGGTAGTTCCTCAAAATTAAATATAGAATTAACAGATGATCCAGTAGTTCCTCTTTGGGGTCTATACCCAGAAGAACTGAAAGCAGAGATTCGAACAGATATCTTCACATCCATGTTCTTGTTGGATTCACAATAGCTGAAAGGAGGAAGCAAGCCAAGTGTCCCTGGATGGATAAATAGATAACAAAATGTGGTACATACATAAAACGGAATAATAATATTCCACCTCACAAAGGAAGGAAACTCTGACTCATGCTACAATATGAACGAACCTTGAAAACATTATGCTAAGTGAAATAATTCAGTCACAGAAAGACTGATTCCACTTAAAGGATTTAAATGAGGCACCTAGAGTAGTCAAAATCATAGAGTCAGAGAGTAGAATGGTGGTTGCCTGGGGCTAGAGAGACAGGGAAAGGGGAGTCATTGTTTAATGGGTTCAGAGTTTCAGTTTGTGAGGATGAAAAAGTCCTAGAGATGGATAGTGGTGATGGTCCCCTGATCTGTACACTAAAAAATGTTTAAGATGATAAATTTTTTGTTATGTGTATTTTTCTACAGTTAAAGGGGAAGAAAGCAACAGGGCAAAGAGGGAGGAGGACTGGACCCAGGGTCAGGAGACTTGGGCTCCAGAGTCAGCTCTACCACGTACCACCTGGGAAACTCCAAGCCAGCTTGGTTCCCTCATCCTTACAACGAGCAGTTGGACTAATTTAATCCTAAGGTCTCACCCAGCTCTAAAATCCTATTCAGAGTAAAATCCTATTCTATGTCTATTTCTTGGTTCCTTACCATGAAGCTTCAACAGTGAACAACATAGACCAAGTCCCTGCCCTCGTAGAGTTTGCATTCTAATGGGGTAGACGAACATTAAATACGGTAACACACACAAATGTGTCAGATGGGAAAATTCTATCCCAAGGAAATTACAGCAGGGTAAGGAGACAGTGACAGAGGGAAGGGTCAGCTAAAATGGCTAGGGGCGTTGTCTCCAAAGAGGTGGCATTTGAGGAAAGACTAAATGGAGAGAGAATGAGACTGTAGAGTTGTGGGGGTATGTCAGGAACAGCAAGGGGGATGCAATGTGGATTCACTGGATTTGTATTTTGTATACTGGATTCTGAGATCCAGATCATAACTGAAGACCCTCACAAGCCTCCATCCTGCCAGGATCCCCTCCCCAGCACTGCACAGAGAGGCTTACCTAGTAGTGCAGATGTAGGTGCCAGAGTCCTCCTGCAATGCTGGCAGAAGCCACAGAGCACCGTCCTGGGCCCACATCCGTGTCTCTTCTTCTCCTGGGACCATCCTAGCAGAGTCATTTTTATGCCATGTCAGGTTGATGTGGGGACTGACAGAGGCCCACAACCGGTAGGGCACCTGAGGGCACCTCAGGGCCACAGGCTCCCCTTCCAGCCTGAACTCCCGCTTGTAATGCCTCCCACGAAACCGGCAGCTTCTGGCAGCCCCTGAAGGACAGAGAGCCCATGGTCAGGCTTTGGGTCCAAAACTTGCTCAGATCCTAAAACCTCCCTGGACCCAGGACAGATCCTGATTCTGGCAGGGAGACCTGGAGCATATTAGAGGAAGATGTCATTTGTCCCTAACAAAATGACCTACACCCTGGGGTACTATCAAACTCCCTCCCTACCCCATTATTATGCTGTCAAAATTTCCAAATAACAAGTTCAGTGCTACTATCTGTTCCAACTTACGTTTGTGAAGAAAGTTAAATCAGGTTTCTATGGTGACAAAAAATTAAAGATTAAAAACTATGGCCACATTTTTCACTTGCTGACTTCTCATCATTAAAAGTAGATCTGAGCTGACTTCAGATGGTAAAAGCTTAGTTCTGGCGTGTTGTGTGGTTAAACTCCAAAGGCAACTTTGTTAAGGGCAAACACTTCACTTCTTCAGTTTGCTCTTTGACAAGCACATTCGCACCGTGCTTTTCTTTTCTTTTTTTTTTTTAATTTTTCCTTTTCCATTAATTTTTTTTTTTTTTTTTTTTTTTTTTACTCCTGTTTTTTTTTTTTTCTTTGTTTTTTTTTTTTTTTGAGACAGGGTCTCACTCTGTTGCCCTGCTGGAGTGGAGTGATGCAGTCTCCATTCACTGCAGCCTCAACCTCCCTGGCTCAAGCAGTCCTGTCGCCTCAGCCTCCGGAGTAGGCAGAACTACAGGCACGCACTACCACGCCCAAGCAATTTAGTAATTTTTTTTTTTTTTTTTTTGAGATGGAGTCTCGCCCTGTCGCCCAGGCTGGAGTGCAGTGACGCGATCTCCGCTCACTGCAAGCTCCGCCGCTTCCCGGGTTCACGCCATTCTCCTGCCTCAGCCTCCCGAGAAGCTGGGACGCCCGGCTAATTTTCTTGTATTTTTTAGTAGAGACGAGGTTTCACTGTGTTAGCCAGGATGGTCTCCATCTCCTGACCTCGTGATCTGCCTGCCTCGGCCTCCCAAAGTGCTGGGATTACAGGCGTGAGCCACCGCGCCCGGCATTTTTTTTTTTTTTTTTTTAATGTAGAGACGTGGGTCTCTCTGTGTTACCCAGACTGGTCTCAAACTCCTGGGCTCAAGCAATCCACCCGCCTAGGGCTCTCAAGGACTAAGATTACAGCCGGGAGCCACCGAGCTCGGCCCACACTTTGCTTTCTGACAAAAAACTTCACTATATAACAGCTTTCCCCAGGGAAGCCGCAGTTCTGACAAAAAACTTCACTAGATAACAGCTTTCCTCAGGGAAGCTGGAGGCAAGTCTTTTTGCATCTGAAGGGTTTACTTCTTACCTGTGTGAGCCGCAGGCTGAAGGGTGAAGGCAGAAACTCCCATTACCAACACGTACAAGCGAAACATGGCTCCTGACAACTTCCGGAGGACACAGGAAGTGGAGGACTGCGGCCCAGCACTACGTGGCCTAGGGGAGGAAACAAGAGGTGTCACCAGGAAACAAGAACCCTGCAGAGAGGATCCCTTGAAGATGGGGTAGGAGCAGGGTCTGGAGGCTTCACCGGATGATAGGAACCTTTTTGCCTACTCTGTTTAAGAAGAAAATTCAAAATTTTTGGATTTGTTTCTCTGCAGCTGTATTCACTGAACATATCTAAACTCAAATCCCTGTAGCACCTAGAGGCGTGCTTGGCAGAGGGGCTCCACCCGCTAAGCTGTTGTCTCTGCAGAGACCTGCCTTAGCCATCCCTGCCCCTTGGCCAGAGATGCTGTTTCCTCAGCTAAGGCCAGTGCCCATGCCCTCTCTGCTCGGACTTCACTTTCTTGGTGAGGTCTCCCTCACCTCCCTGTCTAAAATTGCACCACGTTTAATCCCAATACTCAGTGTTTTCCTTTCCTTCCCTGTCATTCTCTACGGCATTCATCATTAGCCTTGTCTCCCCTCTCCGGAATTCAGGCTCCACGGATGGAAGGACTGTGAAAGGAAAATAAAGACTTGGGACACCCAGTTCACTCTGCCAAAAGGAAAAACTTAAGCTGAAAGCTGAGTCCTACAAGAAGCTGCCTTTCCTTCTGTTCCTAAGCAGACAGCTACAGGTAAAAGGTTTTAAAAACTCTCCATAGGTAGCCACTCTATGTTCACCTCACGTAAAGAGCAGATTTACTGAGTACAAGGGGAATATAACTGACTATTCCCTACCTGTTACTTTTCCCTTGCAACATGTGGATTCAATAATGACCACACCCTCCCTCTCTCCCCCTCCAGCCTGCTTTTCAATAGAGGAAAACCTTTACATATTGAAGCCCTCCAAATCATCTTTGGAGAAAGGCACAGACCACAGACTGTTTTTTCTGTGATTCCATGTTTTTTCTCCTGGGGATTGTCCTTAACCTTGGCAAAATAAGCTTCTAAATTATTAAGACTGTTGGATACTTTTTGGTTGACGGAACCCTGCTTTATCTTATTCACAGTTATATCCCTAACTCCCATTTTTTGAATGAATGAGTGAGTGAGTGAATGGATCACTGGAAGCCCAAGGGTCCTCGTATATCACTTGTCAGAGAATTTTCCCTATATCTCCTATGGATTAACTCCTATTTTACATACAATTCTGACTTGTGCGAGGGATTCGATGTCCTGCTAACACCCTGGTCTACAGCATCCCAGGGAGAAAAGCAACATGAAATCCAACACAGAAATAGGTTATACGAGTTTATGAAGCACTCCTTCCCCAGTCCCCCCAAAGACTGGAGCGTCAGATGCCCTCCTTGTCTCTCTGAGGACCTTCTCACACTAACACAAGTATCCTCTGTGTCTGCTAACCACGGCCACAACGATGCTGCTTAACAAATCAACGACCCCAGAACTGAATGGTGTGAAACAATGGTCATTCACTCTTGCTCACAAGTCTGTGGGAAAGATGGCAGTTGGTTAACCTAAATTAGGCTGGGTTAGGCCTGGCTCTGAGCTGCAGATGGGGTCCAAGTCTGCTCTGTGGGTATCTCATCCTCCTTGGACCAGTAAGCTTCCTGGGAGATGATCCTCTTTGGGGATGGCAAAAATGGAAACAATGCAGCCAAAAGCACACACCAGGCCACACTGGGAACTAGCTCACTCCTGTCGGCCCACATTCCATTCGCCACAGCAAGTCAACGCCCCACCCGGTCATCAGCAGGGCGGGAAGTGGGAGCGGTCGTGCCAGCTGCCATGCTTGACTCTTCTGGCTCCGCAAGGATGGTGACAACCTTGGGGCAGAGCCCTGGTCTTGCTCACAGAACTGATGGCCCACACACCAGAACATACCGGGGAATGTTTATGACTGAAAGTCCTCCCACAGCAGGAGTTGTGAACGAATCCAGGGGAAAAATTCCTAGCCACATTTTCCTTGGGTTGTTCCCTGCTCCTGGCACAGATATCTCTGGGAATGACTTGCAGTAAACCCAGGGTGGCATTGAGGAACCGACCCTCGCACTCCAGAAACCCTCCCTCATGAGTGGGGAATCCTAAGTCCAAAGACTCAGAGTTACAGTCTGAGCTCCCCGTTCTGGTAACCTGAGATATTCCCCTTAGCTGTGTATCTGGCCTGGAGCTTTCTCCCTTAAACTCTCTGTTTCCACACAATACTATTCTTCACGAGTTTCTGAAGCACAAATAGTTCCTGTGACTTTACCCCTAACCACACTGTCAGCTTTGCCAGATGAAGGTCACATAAACATCCACCAAGCTGCTGTGTCCTCCTTGGACATGCATTAACTTCTCACATCCCCAATTATACTGGTCCAAGCCAGACTCACTAGTGCTCCAGTAAGGACATGAAAGAAGTAGGAATTAAATACACTGTAGCTAACCAATACCACGTATCGGGATAAGTAAATGAAGTCAAAGCTGGTGTTGTAGGGACTAGTGTAATAGCAACAGCTATTGTACCAAATATTGAACATTCGTTCTTGCATTTTATCCCCACAAAGTGAGTATCATGCCGATTTTACAGAGGATGTATTATAAGAGTTCAAAGAGGTTAAGAGGCCTGGCCGAGATCTTACAGCTAGTAAGCAGACGTTGAAATTTAACCCCAGCACTGGTGATTCCAAAGCCCTTGCTCTTTGAAAATGTACCTTCTATGACAGATGTTGCTAGTTTCTTCTCCCAATATCTGTCATCCCTGCATCCCCAATAATAGAACCCCCAAATCTTACCTGGGCACATGGCCCTCTAGACACAAAGACATTTCCCATCATCCCTTGCAACATGGAGTGACCATGTGACAAAATGTGGGTCAATGAGATGTGAGTAGAAGTGTCATGTGATCCCCCCAGGAGGTCTCCACTAATCTTCCTTCCTCCTGCTCAGTGTGGATGTGGTGGCTGGATTGTGGTTGCCATCGTGAACCACAAGGTACAGACCACTCACTGAATGCAATAGGGCAGTAAGAGGAAAACCTGAGTCCTTAGTCGCTTCATGAAGCCGCCCACCACCCTGGACTACCTTTTTTATGTGTCCAGGCTTTCTGTCACGCACAGCCGAGCCTATTCCCAATATATTGCTTTTCCAGAGCTTATGAGAAGATCCCAGGGAAAGGAGCCCTGCCAGGTACTGTTAGGCATTGTGTTCTCACAGTCTTCTTTCTGATACTCAACTATTTCAAGTAAACAGTTTCTGCTGGTTGACTCTAAAAGTCACTTTGACTCAAAGTCAGGAGCTGACGTGCAGCCTCCCCTCGGATGAAAGCACCCCTCTATGCTCACCTTCTCTCAGGTTCAGGCTTATGGTAATTATGGGAAGGTTTGTAACCATGTTTAAAATTACTTTGACACCAGAAAGTCAGGCTGTGCCATTCAGGATCAGTCAGTAGCCAACACTTCACAGAGCTATAGAGCTGAAGAGTCTTTGAGAAATCTAATCAAGTCTCTCCTTTCTATAGGTAAAGTGAGTTTCAAGTTAACTCTCTTCTTCAAATCATATGGCTGGTGGGTGAGAAGAAGTATTTCAACAAGGACCCTGTTCCAATGGAATGAATCCTAAAATGCTGTCCTCCTCCAGTAACTGCCAGCCCCATCCACCCCTACCCCCATCTCTAGCCAAGGAAATTGTCTTTGTTTCTCTCCCTGGACTCGGGCAAAAGGGCTGCTTTACCGTGACTTCTTCAGGAAGTGGCTACAGAAAAGTAAACCACAAACACATAGTAGTGACAGTTTTCAATAATCAAAACCTCAGTAAAAAGTTGGAACCAAAATTGCTGTAGTGTGGGAAACAGTAAATTTTTGGCAGGCCCAGAGGGGAAAACAAATTATTTTTGCAGAAGTTTGCAGCAAAACACTATTCTCCTAGCCTACTTTCTTTAAAGGAGTTTTTAAATCACAGACAACTTACATTTCTCCTGGAATCTGAGTTGACCTTCTTTCTGGAAGAAAGAAATTTCAAGGGCAACTCCTTCCAAGTATTTGAGTTAGAATTCTATCTTTTTTTTTTTTTTTTTCACAGCCACAGACAAAGACACCAACACAGCACCAGC